TTTGAAATATGTTCCTCTTCTCCACGTGTAATTCTGACAGCCGTTGCACAATTAAAACCCCAGTGGAGCGTTTCCTGTTCATCTTTTCGAAGTAAACCAATAAAACATCCTTTAGGACGTGAAATGATGGATTAACACTCTTTGGATTGTTTTCAACATCTGTGAGCTGGAGCACTGCCTCTAAGAATATCGTTTAGTTCTAAAAGAACACAGCCACCATCTTTATCTTTTGTTGTTATTAGTTGGCTCTGAGTCCATTCTGACTCATGGTGATCCCACGTGTGCAGAGCAGAACTGGGCTCCATAGGGTTTTCAAGACTGTGACCTTTCAGAAGCAGATCACCAGACTTGTCTTCCGAGGTACTGCCGGGTGGGTTCGAACCACCACCCTTTCGGCTAGTAGTTGAGCGCTTAACTGTACCATGAAGGGATCTATCTTTAGGAGTTTGTATATAACCACAGGTGATGTAGACAATGGCGTGTCAAGAGCTACACATACACCGTGAGTTATGCTTGTCTCGGATGTTTGTTAAACGGAGCAATGAATAAATGGATGCATTCACATTAAAACAAACTGGATTTCAACCCCTAGGGAGTGCGTGACATAGCATAAATGGGGGAATTAATAATTACCCAGGATTTCATCCAGCGTAAGCAACCAATATGAATAATTTAGATCACAAAGTGGATTTTCATTTTGCTTGAACTATTCAGATTGACTTTTTACACAGCCTTAATCACTTCTGAATAACCACTGGCAAATTTTCCTGCTGGGTCTGTGCTGTGTAGACGCGTGTGTGTGTCTACGTAACTGCAAACTACCTAGCTCTAGATGTGGGGCCCCATTCAAGCCAAACGTGTCAGGACAAATGTTCCACCTTATCATGGTGTTCCACCTAACCGGGAGTATAGACAGCCACACCTGAACCTTTCTGTGTCTCCCTCTAGCTGAAGGCCAACTCCTGTGTCTCCTTACCCTCCTCTACACACACACACACACACACACACACACACACACACACACACACACACACACACAAGTAGAACAGAAGGCAGAGAGCAAGCAGCGTCTGTCCTTGGACCAGAGCTTACCATGAGTCAGAATGTCTCCTACATATAATGCCCCTGTTTCTGCCCTTCTCCCTACTGGCTCCTGCCTGCCCAGCTGTCTAAGACCTGCCAGATGCTTCCAGCCTATCTGACCTGTAAGATGTGTCTAACCCTTCAAGCCTTCTCTGGACTTAATCAGTTGCTGGCCTGACCAATCCTCCTGCCCAGCCCTGCCATGGTGTCACACACACACACACACACACACACACACACACACACACACACACATCTGTTATTAAATGCTTCAGCACCAAACAAGAAAGTGCCCGCCAGTTATACGTCTGAAATTAGTAGAACATACATCGTGCAACTTGGGTTCTGGACTTGGCTGGACCCCTAATTAACTGTGTGACCTTGGATAAGTCCCTTATCACTCGGGGCCACGCGGGATTAGACCAAAGGTCCTTTCTTGTTCTAACCACCGTTAGTGAGGATGATGAAGATATGTCACCTATAACCGCTGAGCTCCAGCACCTATGCTGAAATATGCTTTAACCTTTGCCATGTAGAGTAAGCTTTTACATTTCAACGTAATAGCACAGGTCTGACACACACAATGTATTTATAGAATGAATGAAAGAAGGGTTTTCTATACTAAAATCTATATGAATCACTTAGCCGGGTCTACACAACACAAAGGCCTGGCAGTCTACTTCTGAAAAGTCAGCCATTGAAAACCCTATGGAGCACAGTTTTACTCTGACACACATGGGGTCACCATGAGTCAGAACTGACCTGATAGCAACTGGTTAATTGCACAACACGCAAAAGAAATTTCCTTTTTGACTGGGCCCTATAGGTAGCTGAACCAAATCATTTTGGTCCCCTGAATTCCACACTGTTGCATGAACCGTATACAATGTGTTGCCCTCACCAATCAAATAAAATGGAATACGTGCTCATTTTCCTCTTCTCTGGATGAGCTGGCAAGGGGAGAGTCCTGTCTGTCCATTTTGGATGGAGCTTTCATTCCCTGAGCTGCTGAATTCATAAAGCATCAGTAACAATAATTGTATCTGAAGACTAAGGGCATTTAAGGGAAACGAATCATGTAAGCAGAAGAGAAACTGACACATATAGGTCGCTACTTCAATCTCATCCAAGTGCGTTTTGCAAAGAGAAGGCTAAAATGACAATCACGCTATTTGAGGATTCAGCAGAACTTATTTGACTGACAGGCGATCAATTTGAACCACTGCCCAAGACCAGGTAACTAGCAGAGACCCTGCTACTCATGTGGCTGTCTTGGCACCCCTACAAAGGGCCAGTTCAACCCGGGGCTGTCCACAGGCTGCTCTGGGTCCGTGAGCGCTGCTCCCGTCAGAGATGGATGTCTCCCTGCAGCAGATTTTGGAAGCAGTGTGCTGGGTCATTGGTAACACAGCCACACGCTTCAGCGTGGCCCTCCTACACTGCTTGCCTACATCCAAAAACACAAATCAAGGAAGAGAATATAGTTCCTTGCTGCCTGACTAAAGAACAGCCAATCCTGCCAGTAGATTAAAGGCTGGGCCATGGAAAAATTTGCCAACATGCTGACTTGATTTTGTGCAAAGAGCTGGGGGAAGCTTTAGAATCCGCGGCTGAGTTTGGAATCACTGCCTCCAAAGTACAATGAACCAAGGATTGATGGGAGCTTGGGTGAGAGGCACAGAGACCACAGGTCACTGGAATGGAGCTCTGTGGGATGGACTCATAGCCTGTAGGGGAAGAGGACACTGCCAACAGCTTCCCCTTTAGCCTGTGGGTTCCTTTCGGAAGCCAGCACCTGTCCCTGGAGCAAAATGCTGTGAGCACCCAGTGTGTGCACAGGTGTGCCTCTAGGTGGGAGAAAGAAAGAGGCTGTGTGGACAAGACAAAGAGCACAGATCAATAACGAGCTATGAATGCATGATGTCATCCTCCAGAACTAAGCATTCTCAGTACTTTTAAAGCACTTAAAAAAAAAATGCTGTAGTTGCTATAGCAGCTTGATGCAGCTCTTAAAAGGGGATTTTTTTGGAGGGGGGTCATTTTATATCTTTAATTACCGTAACAACTTGGTATAGTTTTTAAAGGGTATTTTTATCCAATTTCTGTGTGCCTTGGACTTGTGCCATATTTGCCTTTTCTATTTAAAATAATCAGACCAAGCATGACACATGAAAAATCACTGAAGGAAAGGAAGCGCTTTCCAGACTATACATCTACACCCAGAGAGGCATCTCTAGCTGCTCAGACCCTGCACCCAGATGCAGCATTTCTCTCTGCCTCCAAACAGTCAGCGGCAGTAGCTTACACAGGTCAGTTGGTCCAGGCCTCTGTCTCTGAGCTGGCATACGAAAGCACCCTAGAACCCCCACGTCGAGGGGGTGTCTATGAAATCCCTCACTTCTCAGCCAGCAAACCCAGCCCTCTCCTCCAAAACTGCACCACCAAGAGACAGTGCCTTGAGGGGACCAGAGGTGCCACCAGCCAAGCACCTTCTCCCACCCTGGGACTCGAGCAGGAGCTGGTGGGACATACGCAGAGTCTCGCCAAAGTGAAAACGTTGTACTTCTTCTACACCCCATACAGGTGAGTAACCGCGGAGGGGGCTGCGTTTCACATGACTCCCAGGGCCCAGGGAAAGGTGGGGTGTGGGGAAGTGGGCAAGAGAGAGACAGAGAGAGAGAAGGGGAAGAAAGAGGAGGGAAGAGGTGGGGTGAGGAGACCGGCAACTTTGGAATCTCTCTGCAGGAGGGGCCCAGAGGCAGAAATCTGGCGGAAAAGGGAGGAGTGGGGGACTGAGGAAAGCCTGGTGGCCTAACAGTTAAGAGCTACCGCGGCTAACCAAAAGGTTGGCATTTCAAATCCACCAGGCGCTCCTTGGAAACTCTATGGGGCAGTTCGACTCTGTCCTATAGGGTCACTACGAGTCAGAATCGACTGGACGGCAACGGGTTTGCTTTTTGGGGTTTGGGGGACCCGAAGGAGTATTTACAAATACAAATACTCCTTTTTGTAAGGTTGAGGAAACATGAAGGGTTTATAACAGAAATGGGGAGAAGGGGTGATGGAAAATATAGAGGGACTGTAACCCCTCCAAGCCACTCCTTGGTGCCACTGTGGGTTGGAAATGAGGGAGAGGGACAAAGGAAAGGCAAGAGGTGAAGAATCTGGAGTGGGGCCGGGAGCGAGGAGGCTGAAAACCAAGGGACGTGCGGAACAGCAGCGGCTCAAGTCCCGGCCAGCCGACGTCTAACGGACTTTGGGGGTAGGAGTGGGATGTGGATTGCAAGCGAAGCGGGTGAAAAGGAGATCTAAGGAGAGGGATTCTGGGGAAAGGGCTAGTCCTTCCCAGGATCAAAAGGCTAGAGGACGCCGAGGGGCAAACGCGGGGGGGGGGAAGAATAAAGAGGGAAAGGGAGAGAAAGGGAGAAAAATGGCGAGAGTGGAGGAAGAGCGAGCCTCCGAAATCGTCCGAGTGAGGAAACTGAGGCGGGGCGGGGGCAGGGTGGGGAGGGAGTAGGAAGAAACCAGCAGGCCCTTGCTGCATATTCTCACACGTTGTCTTACAGAGAACACTGAGGCTCAGGTTAGGTCACCGAGCTGGCGCAAGTGCTGGAGCGCGGGCGGCCCCGGGTCGGCCCCGCGCCGGGGTGAGGGCTCTCCCCACGAGACTACACCGCCAGGTGAGTCACCGCTGGGGGCGCGCCAGAGATGGGCCTTTCCAGCCACCTCCCGCGCTGAAAGCCAGGAAAGAGAGAGAAGGAGCAGGAGGAGGGAGGAGGGCAGAGAAGAGAGCTTGAGACAAAAGTAGGCAACGGTAGGAAGAGGTCCGAGGGCTGCTGACCCCGCCACTGAGCAGGGGAAGGGACGGCAAGTGAAAAGCGCGGAGACGGAAGACGCGCAAGGGGCGCGCCGCTCACCTATGGTCGACACCACAGTGCCCACGAAGTAGAATGCGCCCGGGAAGTCCCAGCGCGGGCGCAGCGCGTCGGCGCGGACGCCAGCGGCCAGCGCGGCCTCGTAGTGCCGGAGGAAGGCGCGCAGCTCCGGCTCCGCCACGCCGTGCGCCGCGCTGAAGTTGCGCAGCGTGGCGCCCCAGCGCGCCCGCGCCTCCGCCTCGCCGGGGCTCTCGAGCGCCGAGAAGACTGTGGCTCCCGCCACCAGGTAGAGGCCGATGAGCGCCGCCAGCAGCACGAAGCGGCCCGTGTCCTCGTTGAGGTGCGAGCGGCGGCAGCAGCAGCAGCAGCAGGCGGGGCGCGGCAGGCGG